GGGCGGCGGCGGAGGGAGGCGGTGGAGGGGCTGGGGAGGAAGGGACGTCAGGGGGAGGGGCGGGCAGGGCGGGGCCGCCGGGACCCCGCCCCCTGCCGCCGGCCCTTAAAGGCGCAGGCCCTGGCCGGCCCGGGGCTCTGGGGGCGGAGGCAGGTCTGGGCGCGTTGATGGGGAGCGTGTTCTCACAGGCGAGTCGAGACTCACCGGGAAAGAGAGGAGGCGAGAAACGCCAAGGCAGAGCGCCAGGGACGCGGAGAAAGATAGTGAAAGACGCAGAGATAAAGAGACACAGAAAGAGAGACAAAGAGATGGGGAGAAACAGAGACACAAAGAGATGCAAAGAGAGCCAAAGGGCAGACGGACAAAAAGACAGAGGGAGAAACGAAAGGAAAGAGACAGAGGGAGAGACAGAAAGAGACAAAGAGAGACACACAGAGACGCAGAGACCTGTGAAGAGAAGGGATACAAAGAGGCAGAGGCAGAGGCGGAGAAGCCCCCAGAAGCAGGAACCAGGCCTCCCGTGCTGTTCACATTCTCCCTGCCAGTCCACCCTCTCCCTGGTCAAGGGGCCCAGGAAGCCCGTGGGGACACAGCGTCTTCTTTTTGTGTGTCTCTGCGTCTTTCTGGGCTAAGGGTGCCGGGGGATGGTGTGCTGGCGGGGCCGCTGCAGAAGGGTGACCAACCTCTCCAGCAATGCTGCCTCCCACCTCCCAGAAAACTCCAGACCCCAAGGTTGTGGGCGGCAGTCTCCTCTCTCTGCACCCCAGCTGGGGTCTGAGGGCTCTCTCTGTCCAGCTGTGTGACTCAGGGCCGGCATTTGCCCTTTCCGGGCCTCAGTTTCCCAGTCTCTAAAGCGAGGGGGGGATCCGCACGTTGCCTTCCTGGCAGGGCTGAAGCGGGTACAAAGGAACCCTGTGCAGGTGTCCGCCTGCAGGGCGCGGCTGCTCCCGGGATGGGAGAACTGAGACCAGAGAGGGTAAGGGCTTTGCTGAGGTCACACAGCGCTGTGGGGACCACCCGTGCCCTCTAGACCAGGGTGGGATGGAAGAAAGAGGGGCATGCGTAGCCCTGGCCCCAGAATCACACAGCCCTGGGAGGGGTCCATACCCTGCCGTGGTGTGTCTCACCACCTTCCTGAGCCTCAGTTTCCGTTTCTAAAAAATAGGTGTGATGATATAACAGCAGTGTCCTGGAGCCGGCTCAACTGAACTGTTACAGTCTCAGGAATTTTGGAACCGGTGGTTAAACAGCGTTATTAAAAATTAAATTATGCAAACATACAATTAAATAAATGATAAATAAATTAATAAATAATAAAAAAATAATTTATAAAAATAAATTAAATAAATAATATTTAAAACAAAGGTGATAAATATTCATCATGTTCTAATTATTTCGCTACGTTTTACTATTACCTGTGATCCTGAGGTTATTTACATCTGTTGTATCTGCATAGTGAAACTAATATGTAATGGACTACTGTGCATCTTTTCCCGGAAAAAACGCGTTCAGTGATGGCACCTTGGTAGCTTGAAATTAGCCGTGGTGGGAAAATTTACACCACAGAAATTGGCAAATGCTACAAAATTAAGCCCCCCCCGGGCCCCCCCCCCCGAGAGCCGGTTGTTAAACGTTTACCAGCACATCACTGGTTGATACTATCAGCTATGTAGACTCACAGAGGCTTCCTCTGTCCCAGGCTCTGAGCCCTTCATCCTTTCCGCCGCCACATGAGGTTGGACCATCATTATCAACCCCACTTACCGATGAGGAAAGAGACACCCCCCCCCAAAAAAAAAACATGCCGAAAGTCACACAGCAGGTGAGCGGTAGAACTGGGACTTGAACTAAGTGCCTCCAAACTCGAAAACTTGGGTTATTAACCATTGTGGTTTCCTGTCCCCGAATAACAACAGTAGCAACCTCAGTCTGCAGCAAATTAATGAGACGATGTAAGTAAAGCGCTTCACACCGGAATAGATTAGAACTTCATGTGTGGGTGACATTATTATTATTATTCAGCAAATGGGGCCTGGGGAGTCTCAGGGATGGTGGGAGGCAGAGAGGGAGATCAGGATGGTGTCCTAGAAGCCTTGAGATCTCAAGGGCTCTGCGGGTAAGGGTGGGGTCTTGGGGATGGGGTGGAGGCTGTCACCCCTTAATCCCTTCCCAGCCCCAGTGCTGGGAGCTGCAGTTCTCCTGAGCACCACACGGGGGCAGCAGACCACCTCCCTACAAATGCCCGCCCACCACGCTTCAAGGTCCCCTCTGGCTCCCGCGTCCCTAGTACAGTCCTACCCCATTTCCCAGATGGGAGGACTGAGGCTGAAATCGGGGGAGGCTGCAACATGGGTGAACCTCGAAAACATTATGCCTAACAAAAGAAGCCCGACACAAAAGACCACTTACTGTATGATTCCATTTATATGGACCGTTCAGAATAGGTAAATCCACGGAGAAATATGGTAGATTCATGCTGCCAGGGGCTGAAAGGAGAACGGAGTGGGGAGCAACTGCTCACGGGTTCCAGGGCTTTCTTTCTGGGGTGATGAAAATGTTCTGGAATTAGAGGTGATGTTTGCTGCGACCTTGAGAATATACTAAGAACCATTGAATTGTACACTTTAAAGGGGTGAATTTTATGGCACGTGAATTTTATCTCAATAAAAAACTAGAACAGAAAGAGGAGGAGATCTGACAGTGGTCACGGTCCGTAACAGGCCGCTCCGTTCCGGCCTGGCCTGCCTTCTGATTACCCCGGGGGCCACACTGACCTGGGGGGGACAATGGCTGTCCCTCCCCCTCCCCTCTTGGCTACCTAACCAGCCCCTCCCCCATGTCCCATTGTCTGGCAAATCCAGTCGTGGATCTGAGGCCTTCAGACCTTGGAATCTTAACCCCTGACCCACTTCTCCCAGCCTACTTGTCTACACAGAGAAGCAACGACCCCCCAGCCCAGCCCCTGACCCTAATGCTGACCCCAGTCCCCTACAGCCCTAACTTTGCCCAGGCAAGTGATCACTTGCCCCAGGCCGAACACTTAGGACCCTGTGCCTAAGTCCCTGAAGGGCCACCTAAACCTAAAAGTAACCCTGACCCTACAACCCAACCCCACCCAACACCCAACCCATGCCCAGCCCCACCCGCATCTGCCATCTCCATCCCCAGCTTCTAGGACTCAGCTCTGATCCATTGCCATTTGTGTGTTCCTTTAACAAACCTTCACGGAGCATCTACTATATGCGGATGAACAAGGTAAGCAATATCTGCTTTGAACTGACATTTGAGTGGGAGAGTCAGAACATCTATAAGGGAGACAGAGGACTCGGATCATTTCGGACTGTGGAAGGTGCTCTGAAGAAATTGATCATCTGAGCGATGTTCCTGGGGGAGAGAGAGAGAATGGGGCAGCAGAAGTGCTGTGCTGGTTGGAGGAACGTCTCCTTTGAGAAAGAGACACTGGAGTGGAGACCGGGATGATGGAGAAGTAGGGGGCCATGCAGAGACTGGGGTCCAGGTCTTTTAGGCAAAGAAAACCGCAATTCCAAAGCCAGGCCCAGTGCTGCCCCCTCAGGCCTCCAACCCTAGCCTCTGGGCCCAGCAGAACCTCCCTCCCTGTCTTCACAAACCCATTGCAAGGCAACCAAGAGAGAACCTTGGGCCCACGTCCAGCGTGGAGTGTCTCCTGGGGGGCCCAGGATGGTGTTGTCGCCTTGGGAGGCGTGAAGAGCAGGCACGCGGGGGGGGGGCAGTTCCGGCTGGGGCAGGGGTGAGGGTGGGGGCCGGACCACGGGCCTGTCTTTCCCAGCACAACCGCAGCCGCAGCAGGGCCTGAAAGGGCAGACAGATAAAGAGTCCTTCCCACCCCTGGCCCCAGAGAGGGAGGGGTTTCCTGACAGGAAACTGACCTCCTCTAACCCCCCTCCTCAGATCCAAGCTCTCAGCATTCCTGGCCGAAGTAGCCTCAGGACAGGACAGCCGCAGGGACAGAAGGACAAGCCACTGAGGACAGAGGTGAGCGTGCTGGAGGAGGGGGCAGGATTCAAACGCCCGGGGGCCACTCTGGATTTGGGCTGGATCAGAGTTTGTGAGATGGGACCTGAAGCCGGGAGCGGCTGGGGGCAAAGAGAGAATTGGGGGCCTGACCTCGGGAGGCACTAGCGAGAGGGCAAGGGGAGACGGGAGCAGGAGTCTGCAGGCGAGACGTTGGAGACCCTGGGGATGCAGAGAGCCTGCGGGGAGCCGTGGAGAATTGGGAACCACTGAGGGAGAAGAAAGATGAGAGGTGGCGGGTCTGATGCCCTCTGGATTCAGGTGGGAAGACTGAAGCCAGGGACGGGTGACTGCCTTGCTCCATCCTCAAGAGACGGGGTCTTGGAGACGGGAGAGGGCACAAGGGCTGGGAGGGAGGCAGAGCAGGAGATGGGGATGGGGACAGGGTTGGGAGTGGAGATGTGGATGAGCTTGAAACAGGCTGGGCTGGTGATGGGATTGTTGGGGAGCAAGGTTGGATCAGGGTGTATTGGTTGGGGTTGGTCTTGGACATGCCATTTGTAAGGGCAGTTCTCTAACACAGACACTGGGGACTGGAGGTGACAACTTCTGCAAACAGAGTTTAGGCTGCCTGCGGAGAGTTTGGGGCTTTGGGGAAAGGCTGGCAGTGAGGAAGAGGAGGAGGAGACGGGGGAAGCAATGGTGGCCAAGACATCCTGCGGGAGCCTGGAGGCTGGGGGCTTGAGGGATGCCTCGGAAGTGAGTCAGGGGCCTGGCACTGGGAGGCAGACGAGGGGGCTGGAGGGGGCAGGATGTCGGAGCCAGTTTGCAGAGGAGGGTGTTGGAGCCAGGAAGGGGAAGACGTCGGGGCCAGTTTTGGGGAAATGTTGCCGCCAGGTCTGAGGCTGTTGGAAATGGTTTGGGGGTATTGGAGCCAGCTCGGGGGCGGACGTGGGAGCCAGTGGGGGAATGTCAGATCTAATTTGGGCGATGTTGACTTCAGTTGGAGGGCGATTGGAGCCCCCTGTTTTGAGGAGGAGGTGGAGTTTTGGGGGGATGATGGAGCCAGTTCTGGGGGATGATGGAGCATTCTGGGGATGAGGCACATGGAAGCCAGTCTAGAAGATGAAAGATAGAGAAACCAGTGTGTGATAGTGTGTGCATGGGGGGCTGGTATCAACTGCCCACAGCCATGGGGCCTCCAGGCAAGGGGTGCCATGGTGACTGCCTCCCCAGGGGATAGGGGACCATGGAAACTAGACGGAGGCTGGGATGGTGTTTCTAGGAACAGGAGGCTTCAGAAACAACAGCTCAGGTCTAGAGGCTGGAGTCAGGGAGGAAACATGGGGGCTCCCCACCAGGAAAGAAGATGCTCTTGCCCATGGCCCAGCCAACTCAGGGCCCCTCCAGCGCCAGCCTCCCCCAGGTCCCCCACACACCCTTACGTGGCTGCCCAATCCTGACCCTGGCCCTCGCCTGCTCAGAGCCTGTCCTGGTTCAAAACAACCTACGTGCCCAGCAATAAGAGAACGTGTGAACATCGGACACTTGACACGATTTTGCATCGTCACACAGTGGAATAGTATGCAACACTTAAATCAAACATAGCCGCAGAGATGGGTGTGGATAAATCTCACCCCTATAATGTGAGCTAAAAAGAAAAAAAAAAAAGCAAGTTGCAATATACATAGTTTATAGAGAGTAGGAAACCATGTAAAACAATGTATTCTTTCTGGATGCAAGTCTGTGTCTGCACGGGGTAACAGTCTGCCCGGTCGGTGGACAGAACCTTCGGGATGCCGCTTTCCTTGGGAGAGGGCTGGAGGGAACGGGATCGGGGAGGGGTGGCAGGAGGCTTCGGTCCATTTGAGATGCCTTATTCTTAAAAAGCCCTGAACAAACAGAGGGAACGTTTGCCTCAGATGCAACTACAATTGTAGCCACGGGTGTAGTTTATTAAGCTTGTTTTCTCTACTTTTCTGAAAGTTTGGACTATTTCATCATTTTAAAAAGCGCCCTTCCGTGCCTTCCCAGTGCCCTTGGGAAAATGCCCAAGGCCTGCATCACTGCATTTCGTGGCCTGCCCCTTTCTGAACTCCCCAGCTTGACTCTCCATTCCTCCTCCCCCACAAGGAATGAGGTCCTTGCCTTCTTCCTCCGTTTCCTGTGTAGCACCCATTCATTCCCCGAGTGCCTGCCCTGGGAGCTGGGTACACAGTGGTGACCGCGACAGCCCGACCCTGCCTTCTTGGGGCTTACAGCCTAGGGGGGGACGCCGACCCATCCTCAGACAGTGACGACCCAGAGTGGGCAGGGCTGGGGTAGGGGGAGTCCTGAGAGGGCCACCTGATTCAGCTTGGGTATCAGAGAGGGCTTCCTGGAGGAGGAGGCATTCCTAAACCTTGAATGGAGCATGGAGAACAGGCTTCCATGTAGAAGGATCAACAGAGGAGCGTGGATAAGGATGAGGAGACTGTGGGATAGCCCTGATGATGTGCACGGCTGGCAGGTGAGGGGCCTGAATTTTGTCCCCAGGGTACTGGGGAGCCATGGAAGGTTAGAGGAAGGGGAGAGGTGGGTTTGTGTCTTAACAAAGTTGTCAAAGGTGGACTGGAGGGGCCAAAACTAGAGGCTGGAGACCAGGGAGGAGGCTGCAGCAGGGAAGCGGGAGGGAGCTTGGTCTGGGGCAGGGGCCATGGAGAGGGAGGAGACGAGGGACTTAGGAGGTGGAATGGGCCGGGCCTGCGTCTGCCTTGGCCGTCGCTGTATCCCCAATGCCTCCATGGCAAATACCTAGTATTTTTTTATTGTGGTAAAATATACATAACACAAAATTCACCATATTATCCATTTTAAAATGTCCAATTCAGTGGCATCTAGGACATTCACAATGTTGTCAGCCATCGCCACAGTCTAGTCCAGAACATTGTCATCCCCCTAAAAAGAAACCCTGTACCCATTAAGCGGCCACTCCCCAGTCCCCGTCTCCCAGCCCCTGACAACCACTGATCTCCTTTCTCTCTCTGGATTTGCCTATTCTGGATATTTCCCAGTAAGTTTTTGCTGACGGAATGAATGGGGTGGGGTAGGGGTGACGGGTACCGACTGGACAAGGGAGAAGAGGTAGGTGCCCAGATGTGTGACATGGATGTCTGGGTAGACAGTGGGGCCTGGGTCCCCATGCAGTCTCTGCCCTTCGCAGGCTGTGCCACCTTAGGAAAGACCCTTCCCCTCTCTGGGCCTGCTTCCTCACGGAGTAGGAGGGTCCACTAAGATGATGAACATTCCAGGGCAGGAGTGAGGCAGGGAAAGGGTCTGAATGCAGATGCTCAGGGGAAAGAACCAGGCTCTGGAATCAAACAGGTCTGGGCACGAATCCCGGCTTTGTCCCTGAATCGCTCTGGGAGCTCAGGCAAGCGCCTTCCTGCTTCTGAGCCTCAGTTTCGTCATCTGCAAAATGGGCATAATGATAACACCTACCTCTGTGGATTGTGCAGATTCACAGGGTTAGTAGGTGCTCAGACCTGGCACACATGGCCCAAAGTGCTGGGTACACAGTAGCATTGTCATCCACACACCACTGTCATCAACACCATCGATGGCCCATTATTTTTTCCCCAGGTCCCTGCCTGTCAAAATGCCCATCCTGAAGAGCCTAGGGGTGGCAGACTCTAAGGTGCCCCGGGCGGGGACCCTGCCCCTGAGGTCCTCTCGGAACCCCTTTGAGGAAGTGCCAGGGCTGGAAGAGGAGGAGGCTGGGGAGCTGGGGACCCTGCCCAACGGGACATCTTGTCGCCGCCGCGCCACCCTGGAGAAGCTGGCAGGCCTGGCCCCCTTCCGGCTGGGCTGGACCCCTGGTCGACGGGCAGGCAGCCCCGGGGACGGGCAGTCCCGCTCTTTCCTGGGCCGTATGCTGGTGCCTGGAATACGCAGGAGCTCTGCAGATATTGGCCTCCTGGCCAGGCTTCAGGGGACCCGAGCGCAGGGCGACGAGGAGGCAGCCGGGGAGGCCGCCCGGAGACTGGCCTTCCTGAGACTGGGGCGTGGGCCCAAGCCCCGGCGAGCGTCACTGGCCGAGAGGGTGGTGCCTGCGGGAGAGGCGGCTCCTGAGCCCCCGCCCAAGGTCCCAGAGCCCCCGAAGATGAAGGAGCCCTTGTCAGGTGAGTTGGGAGCCCTGGCCCAGACCCGGGAGAATCACAACGCCTCCACCCGTGACCCCGTCTCCATCCACCTCTCCAGTTTCCATCTGCCCACCTCCATGTATATTGCCAGCCTGTCCCCCTGCAGTCCTGTCCCCATCGTCACCAGGCTCCAGCTTCAGCCCCGTCTCCACGCCCACCCCTGCTATCCCCCTCTCCACCTGCCATCTTCAACCTCACCCCAACGTCCAGCGACACGCGAACCACCAACTGTGGTCCCATCTCCTCCAATTCCCTCCCTATCCCCAATTTCTTTTTTTCTTTTCTTTTTTTGCTGAGGAAGACTGGCTCTGAGCTAACATCTATTGCCAATCCTCCTCCTTTTTTTTCCCCCCAAAGCCCCAGTAGATAGTTGTATGTCATAGCTGCACATCCTTCTAGTTGCTGTATGTGGGACGTGGCCTCAGCATGGTCGGAGAAGCGGTGTGTCGGTGTGCGCCCGGGATCCGAACCCAGGCCACCAGCAGCGGAGCACGCGCACTTAACTGCTGAGCCACGGGGCCGGCCCGCTATCCCCAATTTCAACCCTCTTTCCCTCCGTCCCCTCAAATTCAACCTCAACCCCATCTCCTTTCGAAGTATCCACATTCAACCTTGACCTTCTCCCTCTTCCGAACCTCCATACTCCACCCCATTCCCATCCCCAGCCCCAACCCTGGTCCCAAACTCCAACCCCCACCTCAGCCTCCTCCTTCGTCCCCAATCCCATCTCCTGTTCCATTCCACTCTGAACGCCGACCCTAACTCCACCCCAGTCCTAAGCCCCCAGCCCCAGCAGCCACCGTCAACTTCATCCCCATCCCACCTCACGTCTGGACTTCATCTTCAGACTCAACCCCATGCCCAACGTCCACCTTCATCTCCCAACTACGTCCCCCAACTCTACCAACACCTGTACTAGTCTCCTGGGGCTGCCGTAATAAGGGCCCACAAACCGTGTGGCTTAAAACAATAGAAACTGATTCACGCACACTTCTGGAGGCTAC